TCAGCCCTCTGAAAAGGGTGCATGTAATTATGAATACGATAAGCAAACTCACCCCACAACACACACACAGCTCCCTACCCCAAGCCTGGAAACAGGCATAGTAGTATGGTGAAGGGATTATAAATCAGCACTTTGCAGTGAGAAGTGGTCATTAATTCGGCAAAGAATCACAGTTTCTTTTCATATTCTGACCACTGCCCTCCCCCCACCCCAACCAATAAGAAAAAAGAAAAGCTCAACGGTGGGACTGCTGAATACAGCTCCCCTGTGTGAAATTTCACTAATCAGATGTCATCCCGCCCCGCCCCCCCACAAGTGGATTTCAAAAAAAACAAAAAATAGCAACTTTGAATTTCACTCTTAGCAATACATAAGCTATAGGACTCTCCTAGGGGGGAAAAATGTTATAATAGAAAAGAATATAGAGTAGCTGGGGTGTGTGTGTGAAATATTTAGAAGAGGGGCTCCAATGAAAGTCCTACTTCCTTAAAAATAAAACAGTGTGTTTCTGACTCAATGAAAGCTGGAAAAGTCCCTAAGGGAGCTCTCTATTTCTTGCTTCTCAGCCTCCCACCCCCTGAGATTAAGAGCAGAAAGAAGAGTCTGGCCAGAGAAATTTACAGCTTCCTAATAGTAGACCAGCTCAGCCTCTTGTAATTGCCGATTGTAGAGTAAATACAGCTATTTTAGGCATGAGGATAGAAATGGATCTGATGAAAAGTGAAGGCAAACTTGGTCCTTAGACTACTTGCCAGAAAGGGCATCCTCCAGTAAAATAATCCATTCTCTTTCTTGCTCAGCATCCCAAACTTGGGAAAATGCAAGGTCCCTTTTGCTTCTCCCGTGGGGAACAAGGCGAAAGTAAGCGCCCAGGAAAAACACTGATGCAAATGCCATATAAAAACAATCACAGACTTTAGGCCTAGTGGCCGTGCAGGCTTTTCAGTCCAAAGGGTGCATGTAGAAGAGAGTTTGGAAAACCCCCCCTCCCCTGAAGTCCTCTTTCCCAGCAATGTCCATTGTAAGGGGCTGCGCAAATATTTACAAAGTTCTCAAGTTTCTGATTTTACACCATCTTTGTGATATAAAACATTTGAGTTGAAGGAACTGCAAAGCAAACGCCTTTCTCAGTGTCTCTGGAAAGGCTGCACCACTAGCATGAAAGGGGAGCACACCTAGAAAATGAAAACTTGTGTCGGTGTCCCAAGAAAGCCATTGGCGAAAGGGTGGCAATTGGGAAGAGGGTGGCAAATTTAGCGTTTGCTGGAGGCTTGGGCCCAGGCTGGGAGGGGAGAGCCCCAAGGTGGCTGCGCAGCGCGGTGCGAAAGTTCTCTGAGAGACGTGCCGAAAACCAGACTCCCTGGTTGGAATAACCTGTGAGATCAGTGCCTGGGCCTGTTGGCATCTCTGCCCAAAACATCCTGGACCGCCGCCAGCCCAGGCCTGAACGTGGCCTTGGAGCCACCACCAGAGCCCAAACAAGCCCCAGACAGGTGCTCAGCAGGGTCTCTCCTCCTGGGGCCCTCGGAGGGCACGCAGCATTTCTTGGCTAGAAGGGTGGTGGCCGGTTGTGGGGGGCGGGGGGAGCTTAGACTCTTGAGGACAGCCTCCCCAGAGACTGTTTGGGGTTGACTGTCCCAGTTACCACGTGGCCTCTGTGGAGGGCAGAACCCAACTTTGTTCAGAGCAGGCTAGCAGGTTCCAGGCCCGAGAGCGCTGAGCATTCTCTCAGCACCCCTCTTCAGGGCTGCGATCCTGCCATGATCCTGCCATTCGGGGTGGGCCGAGGGGGGGCATGGCATGGGGCCAGCCCCGGAGCAGGGACACATCGAAGCTACCGTGCAAGCCACCCCTGTGGGTGTGTTTTTGCTTGCTTTCTCCAGCCAGAGGCCACCCCATCCACCTGGGGTCCTGAGCCCTCTTGTTTCAATCTGAGTATAAGGAAAACCCACGCCAGGAGGCCAAGACTGCAGCCTGAAAGTGGGGAGAAGACTATGGCAGGTCACCTGAGGGGCCCTGCATCTGAGCCAGCCCTCTGGGGGTCGGCAGAGAGAGAGAGAACTGCGGGATAAACATGCAGCAAAGAAGCCTGCTCAGCCTTGGCACCCGGACGCCCCCTCTGGGGGGTGGTGCACCCCGCCCCAAGCCAGCCAATCCCACGGGCCTCCCATTTGGCCTCAGTAACTGGACTCCAGGCCACCAAAAGGCCCGTGGGTTCCTGATTGTATATCTTCGAATGGCATTAAAAGGTCCAGACCAGGCACTCGTAGGCCAGGCCATATTTAGCTGCAGGTTCACCCGGAGAATATTTTAGGTGCTGTTTGAAAGGCGAGATCTGGGCCCGGTTGCCGGCTGTCACATGGCAAGTGTAGGATGGCTCCCTCGCAGGCCTGGCCTGGTGGGTGCTGATGGCCACGGATGCCTGAGTCTCTTCCAGAGCGTCAGGGCCACGCGACACGGGGCCAGGGAGCCAGGGAGTGCCCGGGTCGTGGGTTCTGTGTCAGCACAGCTTTTCGCCCCGTTTTTCTCTCTGATGGCGATAAGGCCACTTCCATTCACAGAACTCACAGAGGCTGTTTTCAGCCCCTTCTTCCCCGATGGCCCAGTGTGATATGCCAGCTTGCTGAGCGAGCAACCGCCTCCTCCTCCTCGTGTCAGCAGCAGTGGAGTGGTTAACCCTTTCAGGGTTGGGGTGGGGGGACAGGGTGCTGACTGGCTAGGGGGAGGGCCCTGTCCCCAGAGACCCTTGGAGGTCATGCATCCCAGGGAGGCCCTGCCCTTGAGTCAGCATCCTGGACCTTAGCCGTGGTTTTTCCACTCTGGACCCATCGGTGATAACCACCAGGCTCCCTGACCCAAGCTCTCACCCTTCACTTGTTCATACAGCCCTGGAAACCCCTGCTTGCTTGTAGATATTTTCATCCGCGTTTCTGAGTTGATAACTTTCCACATCCCAAAGGAAGGAGGGATAGAAGGGTCTGTGATTCACTCAGATTAGGAATGAGGGTTGGGAATAGTCATTTGTGGTCTGGGGGAGATGGCCCCAGCTTCCCTAGAGTCACCTGACCTGAGGGACTGATCCTTATCACCTGCCCTGGGATCCCAGATCCTGGTTTTCTGGACATGGAAGAGGTGCATCTGTATGGAAACCGCTATGTGGAGACCCATTTAGCCAATTCTTAGCCTTTAGGGAGCCTGGGTGGAGCCACCGCCATGTACCAGGAAAAGCGTCGGCCTGTCTCACGTCTGCTCTAACTTTTTGCTTTTTTTCCTTTTTAGTTTTGGCTCTTGGGGTTCCAGGAGCCCCCACTTCCTGCCCAGCTGGTTGGTTACCGCAGGGAAAATGAGGGACTTTTGGGGGCAGATGTGTTTGCATTCCACTATCATAATGCCCCTAAAAATCCTTATTGCTCTTGCAGTATTCCTCGGGGGTCCCTGGGCCGGCCGTGGCAGCCGAGTTTCTCCAGCAACTAAAAGAAGAAAGATGTCCCCCCCGCCCCCGCCCCAAACCCTCCTTTCTGGTCCCTGAGAGTGCTCCCCTCATGGCGCTCAGAACTGGTTGGTGATCACCACGGAAAATAAAAAAGATGCCATCTGCAGATGGTTGCTAAACACGCTTTTTGCCCTCCAGGGTCTGAATGCTGGAGATGAGGCTTGGGAAACGGGACAACTGCGGCTGCTGTCCGCGTGTGCTGTGGGGGTTCGTGGCGGGGGAGGTGGGGAAGAAACAAGTGTTACCTGTTTGACGAGGCCGGTTCACATTTAGCCTGGGCCTTCCAGCAGGGCCTCTGGGCTCCTCACCTTGGCAGAAGCCCTGGACAGCCGTGACTGGCTCACTGGCTTCCCGGAATCAGCCCACTTTCCCACTCTCTGCCTCGGTTTCCTTCCCTGACAAGGGAAGGACCACCACCCCCATCCTCCAGCCTGAAATGGTTCTCACTTGTACCTGCTGCTTTATTGTGAAGTTCAAGTGATAGACAGGCTCAGAAGGCGCTGGGAAAGTGGGGACAAGCATTACACATGGAAGCCGTCTGCGCTGATACTAATACCCACGCCGGCAGAGACAACTCAGACAGGAGCAGGACTGCGGTCCAACATATGCATAGGTTTCTGCAATCCTGGAATCAGGCAGCCCCAGCTCTGCAACTCTTGCCGTGTGTCACCCTCCTAGGCAAGAGATTCAACCTCTCTGGACCTCCATTGCCTCTCATAGGAAACCCACGTTTTGGGATAAAAGTTTCTCAAGTCTGATAGGCACAGGATTTTAAGTGGTTCCTGGCTAGAGATGTAAATTATTCGAACAGGTATTTCTTTTGTACAGCAGATTTTTACTGTGGCAAGCGGTTGGCTTTCAGTTTAGGGTTCTGGGGAGAAGGGCTCTTTTCTTTTTACATCAATTTCTTGCCTGGAGAATCCCCACGGACAAGAGGAGCCTGGAGGGCTACAGTCTATGGGGTCGCAAAGAGTCAGACAACTGAGCGACCAAGTACAACACAGCATGTGAGATAAGGAGGGTAAGTTGTTTGCAAGGAAAACATTCAACCAAAGGGAAATACAGGTGGCAGGATGGGGCAGGACTCAAGATGATCCTTTGTAAAGTTTCATCTGCTTTTTTCTTTTGATCCTGGCTTGTGGGATCTTAGTGCCTGGATTAGGGATTGAACCCGGGCTCTCGGCAGTGAGCGCTCGGAGTCCTAACCACTGGGCCACCAGGGACGTCCCCATAGTCCACTTCTTCAGAATTATTTGTCTTAAGGATTTTCTGCACCCATGGAGCTGGTGTGCCACTTCCAACCTGAGGCAGTCTCCACCTGTGACAACCTGGGTGCCATGAGCCCCCCCAAGCTCCGGCCCTGCATGCCAACACCAGTGAGACGCCTCAGATCTCTGCCCCCACGCCCACCCATAGCTCTGATTGGTCTCTTATTTTAGAATCTTGCTACCCCAGTGCCCTCTTTCCTGGCCAGGGCACCTCTCTGAGCCTCAGTTTTCTCTGTGAGATGGGGAGAATAATTACTCCCCACCCCCACCCCGCCCCCGAGCAGTGTGAAGATCCAGAACTCAGTTGGGCAGCTCTGGTGGTTCACAAACAGGGCATGGCTCAGAAGGCGGTGGGCACCAATGACCCTGGGATGGCCAGGGGCACAACGGCACCCTTGGGCTGGAGGGGCACTCCTTGGACAGGCTGGTGCCCGGCCCAGCCATCCTCTCCCCACCCACCCCCTGGGATGGGGAAACAGCAGGCATTGGGTCCCAGCCAGCAGGGGCGGGTCTGGTTTCACTTTCTGCTGTGTCATGGGGTGGGGGGTGGCATCGGGGCCCGGCTGGCCAGCTGGGGCGGGCACCGAGAGGCTGGCGGACAGCTGGGGCCCAGCTGCCAGAGCACAACCTGTGCCCTCGTCCTGCTGCCTGCCGGGCTGGGGGCTGGGCCCCAGGGCTTCCCTTTGAATGCCTCTTACCCCCGCCTTGCACAGTGGGAGAACCCCAAATGAGAAAAGCCAGCAGGGTGTGAGATGGTTCTTGTAGCCACGAGATCGCCCCCAACCCAGACACGTTCTTCAGCCTGCAGTCTTGAGGTTCCCGGAACTGCAGCTATTGATTCTGGGTCAGAGTGCTCTGGCTGGATGCCTGCTCCCTGCTGCCTCCACTGGAGCATGCCTCCTGAGGGCCTCCTGTGTGCTCCGCACGGTCCCGGCACCAGGGATGCCTCAGGCAGCAAGACCACGCCTGCCCTCCTAGGGCTCCTGGTTGATGCGCGGCAAAATCAATAGACCGCGTAAAGAGAGAAAGAATCCCACGTGATGGGGACAGTTCCACATGGTCTGCTTCACGTTAGCATCTCAGGGAAGGGGCGTGTGTATGTGTGTGTGTGTGTGTGTGTGCGCATGTGTACTTGTCAGGGATGTGACAACTCCTGGAACACATAGGTCAGTTGAGAACACAGGCCTGGGGGGCCAGGTGTCCCCGGTTTGAATCTGGATTTTTCCACTGATGGGTGTGAAACCTGAAGCAAATTTCTTCTCTTTGGGCCTCGATTTCTCCGTCTCTATAATGGTACCTACAGAGCAGGGCTGCATGGAGGATGTAATGAATATCCGTAAAGAACTAAAGACAGTGCCTGGCATTGACCGTCTGCTGTCTAAGTCTTAGCCACTGTCTACTAACTAAGCATCATAAATATGCCCTGTTCTCACAGATGATGTGAGGCTGTCACCGAGGGCTGAGAGCAGCAGTGATACTGTTGAGCTCACCCTCCCCCTCTCGAGCTTTACCCGCCTCCTCTCTCTAGCCGCACCAGCCTCAGGTAGGCCTTAGCATCTCTGTTTGGATGAGGAAATGGAGGTTCGGGCAGGTGAAGAGGTGTGTCTAAGTGGACCCAGCTTAAAAGCAGTCTGACCCTGGGTGTGGAGTCAGCTTCACAGTGTGGGCCCTGCTGGTTCAATGCTTCACCCTTGTCATCCTGAAATTCTGAATAATTTTGGGAACGAGGGGTTCATGTTTTCATTTTGCAAATTACAAAGCCAGTCTTGCCCAGATCTCACTTCCTCCAGAGCCGGCCCTCTTAAATCCTACCATCAATCTCTTGTAGAAGGATGGTCCAGAATAGTTTTCCAGTTCATCATTGAAGTATTTAGTGTGGGACTGAAATCCTAGGGAGCATACAGGACTTCCTACGGGGCCAGATTGCCCTAGTGTTTATTTGATTGTCTGTTGCCCCCATTAGAAGGAAGGCAGGGCAGCTGCCAAGGGCAGGGGGTGAATCATTCATTGCTGTATCCCCAGGGCCTGACATGTACTAGCTGCTCAATTAATAATTGTGAAATGAAGCAAATTAATGGCAGGCCGCTGGATCTCCTTAACTAAAACAGATTTAAATGACACTTCCAAGAAAGCAGGTCAAAGTGGTGGCCATCCTCCCCTGGCTTCTGGACAATCCCCTGAAGGGTATGGAGGCAAAGGTCTCTTCCTTTCCCAGGCGGCAAACCTGAATGCCAATACCTTGCAGCAGATTACTGTTTAAACAGGTTCTGGGACTTCCCTGATGGTCCAGTAATTAAGACTCTGTGCTCCCACTGCAGGATCAGGAATTAAGATCCTCCATGCCATGTGGTATGGCCAAAAAAAAGCCAAAACGGGCTCTGGTGGGGACCTCAGAGGCAACACAACTGTTTAAGGAAAACACAGGCCTGGATTCCTGAGCACCAGTTATTGGAGAAGAGTCTCAGCCAAAAGAATATTTTAATTCTGGGCAGGTTCAAGTCCCAGTCAAGGATCGGGGGGTACAGTTTCCTGGACTGCTAAGTGAGAGTTTGGATTTGGGGGGGTTCAAGTTCCTCTTTTCCTGTGAAATTAGAGTTTTTCTACATTCTTGCCGTTCCTAATTTGCTCCCTTAAAAAAAAAAAAAAACTTAGTTTTACTAACAAGCAAAGAATCATCTGAAAATCCTTTAAGAGATTTACAACAGTAATTAATGTGTTTTTGGCGAGCTGTTTTCACAGGCTCCATCTCTGTTGCTTCAGATGATCTGCATATGAAGTAGAAGTTACTGGTCTCATTTCTAAATAACATCATAACCGCCAGCACACACTGAGGGTTTTATATGAGCTAAACACTTTACAGGTATGAAGTCTTGTTGCACGAGCAACATATCGGGAGACGCTGTTACTGCCTCTGGTTTCCTGATGAAGCAACCAGCTTAGAGAGAGGAACTGACTTGTCCAAGGTCGCACACCCAGTGTGTGATGAGCCAGAGTTCAAGCCGGAACCTTCCAGATCAGGGGTCAGCAAACTTTTTCTGGAAAGGGCCAGATACTAAATATTTTAGACTTTACAGGTCATACAGTCCCTTGCCACAGTGACTCCACTCTGCTGTTGTGACAAGAAAACAGCCAGAAACATTAAGTAAATGAGTGGTCCTGGCTGCATGTTCCAATAAAACTTTATTTACAAAACCAGGAAGGGGGTTAATTTTGGCCCCACAGGCTATATAGTTCACCGCCCCCCCCCCCCCATTCCAGACCCTAACACCTGCCTTCCAGTTAGGAAGCACCTGGCCCTGGCCACGTTCTTCCTCACTGTCTCTCCCTACCTGTGAGGCAACTCAGTCACGTCTCAGAACAGAGCCCACTGGGGCTTGGGAGAGGGTGAGTTGGCCCCTCTTTCCTTGGGATTATGAAGCTCTTGGAATTTACAACTATTAGGACTTGTTAGTGACTGCCATGATCGATCGGCATGGGGACTCTAAAACTGTAATTTTAATAGGTGTTAAGTGAGTAACTTAAAGAGGAAGGTGTTAAAGAGTTTTAGGAAAATACCTCAATGGGGCACTTTGGCTGTGGAAGGAAGTTCTCTTTGGAGAAGGCATTTCTCTGGAGTTGGTGAGAATGGCAACAGGAGGGAAAATGTCTTAAGGCAGAAGAAGGTAACGAGAAGGGGAGATGGGAAGAGTGTGTACTCACGCGTGTGTGCAGAGAGAGGGTGGAAGAGAGAGATTTCCCAAAGGCACGAGGCTGGAACCCATGGATTCCTGACAGGAGAAGGGGTGGGGCGGGGAGACATGACTTTTTTCCCCAACAGCTTTATTGAGATAGAATTCATTCACCACATAATTCAGCTATTTCAAATAGTACACCCCCCAAATGGCTTTGAGTATGTTCACAGAGTTGTGTGACAGTCATCACCATCAATTTTAAAAATTTTCATCTTTTCAAGAAGAAAACCCGTACCCTTTACCAGTCCACCACTCCCACCGAATCTTCTAACCCCCTCCCCATCCCCCACTCCTAATCAATCGCTAATCTCCTCTTTGTCTGTATAGATTTGCCTGTTTTGGATCTTTCATACAAATGAAATACATATTTCATACGGAATGTGACCCTTTGTGGCTGGCGGGGCGTGGGGGGCGTGCCTGAGGAGAGAACAGGTAAGGACCTGGCAGTTCCTCCTGTTCTCTGTGGGATGTTCAATGAATGCGCGAACGTCCATTCATTCAATTTCTTAAACTGTTGTTTAGTCATTGGGGTCACAAAGAGTCGGACATGACTGAGTGACTAATACTTTAGTCACTCAGTCCTGTCTGACTCTTGTGATCCCCATGGACTGTAGCCTGCCAGGCTCCTTTGTCCATGGGATTTCCCAGGCAAGAACACAGGAGTGGGTTGCCATTTCCTTCTCCACGGGATCTTCCCAATCCAGGCATTGAACCTGCATCTCCCTCTATTAGCAGGCAGATTCTTTATCACTGAGCCACCATGGAAGCCCAATTATTTGAGTACTTACAATATTACTATAAATTATAAATTTGGGGGGGATCCAAAATTACTGCAGATGATGACTACAGCCATGAAATTAAAAGATGCTTGCTTCTTGGAAGAAAAGCGATGATCAACCTAGACATCATATTAAAAAGTAGAGACATCACTTTGCCAATAAAGGTCTATCTAGTCAAAGCTATGGTTTTTCCAGGAGTCATGTATGGGTGGGAGAGTTGGACTGTAAAGAAAGATGAGTTCCAAAGAATTGATGCTTTTGAACTGTGGTGTTGGAGAAGACTGTTGAGAGTCCCTTGGACAGCAGGGAGATCCAACCAGTCCATCCTAAAGGAAATCAGTCCTGAATATTCATTGGAAGGACTGATGCTGAAGCTGAAATGCTGATACTTTGGCCACCTGATGCGAAGAACTGACTCATTAGAAAAGACCCTGATGCTGGGAAAGATTGAAGGTGGGAGGAGAAGGGGATGACAGAGGATGAGATGGTTGGATGGCATCACTGACTCGATGGACATGAGATTGAGCAAGCTCTGGAAGTTGGTGATGGACAGGGAAGCCTGGTGTGCTGCAGTACAGGGGGTCACAAAGAGTCAGACACGACTGAGCCACTGAACTGAATTATAAGAGGCTAAGAATGGGGCATGAGCTGTAACCAACAAGACAGACAAAGTTCCTACTTAGGGACAGGAGAGGAAATCATAAACCAAAGAGGAAGAAAACATTTTACATTTGATTAAAGTAATAATAAGCAACAATGGCAGGAAACGATTACACCACCAGGTCTGAGTAAATCCTTGCAAATATGGGGTTTACAGACAGCATATCTTAATGCAAAGCCCAACTCAGGGTTGTGGCAATCTTCCCCTGAGAATGACTATGGAAGCAGCACAGCCAGGAGAAGGCTCTGGAAGAGGTAGGTGGCTCTGGGTTTTTTGTTTTTCTTTTCCTGCCAGCACTTTCTACCCCTCCGAGTAAGAGACACTATGCCGAGTGGGAATATGGCCAAAGATGGCTGCTGACAACACTCAAGCCTCAGCTACAGTAATAGGTCCAGGTGTAGACATGTGACTTTGTATGAAAACTCATAGCAGCCCCCTTCTGAGCTGGTCTGCAGTGCTTGGTCCACGTGTGGTCACGTGACCTAAGCAGGCCCAAGGCAGGATTGTTTTAAGCAGAGCTGGGGAGAGGATTGCTTTCCCCACCCACTCACCAGCATCCAGAGCTACTAGTGACCGCAAAGACTGAGGCCAACATGGAGGGAGAGAGAAACAAGGGATGGGCTGGAGGTTTGGGGAGGAGACAGAGCGACTGGCGCTGCGTTCTGTCCCTGGATCCAAGAGTGACTCAGCCTCTCTCGTCCTTCAGCATGGTTACTCGAGTAATGAATCCCCCATCATACCTCAGTCAGATCAGCTCTGGTCTCTGTGTGCACCAGGGCATCCCAGTTCAGGACTTGGGAACTGTTTGTTCCTTCTCATGGACTCTGTGAAACTAAGCGGGGTAGGTTATCCTCAGAACTCATTCTCCCCTAGGTTTGCCTTGCTGTATCTGGGGATGAGAGATTCCCCCAGGCTCCTCTCCATCTCTGCCCACCACCACCACCCTGCTTTCAATTAATTTACCGCTGAATCAGAGCTCAACATTTATTCTTGGGCTTCAAGTCCCAACCTCTATCTGCTTGCTTGCATCTCCCTGACCTTATTCCACTTCTCCTCACCCTGCTCTCCACCAAGGACGGAGCCTGCAGCTTGTCCTGGCCTCCGCTCCAACGCCCACCACGTTAAAGGAATGATTTGCTTACATGCATGTTCTCCCTTTGAGTGGTGACCTTGAGGCTGGAGACCCAGGTCTCACTCATCTTTGCACCGCAGCCGCTGGCTTGCAGCAGGTGGGCAGCAAGTGCAGGAGGCAGGGAAAGGAGAGGGGGAGAGAGGGTCGCTCCTTCCTACTGATTCAGGTCAACCAGTGGGTCAGGTTCTGTGCTTGTTTCCTCTGCCAGATACTCTTGCGTCAGGTGGACACACAGCTCATGCCCTCATCTCCTTCAGGCCTCTCCTCCAACGTCAGTTCTCCAACGTCCGGTACTGCAGTTCCCATGAACTGCATTCCCCCAGTCCCCATCTCGAGCCTTACCTTTCTTCACGCTCTCTTGTTCCCTTCCACCACCACTGGTCTCTCTGCTTCTCTCACTGAAATGTCAGCTCCAGGTGGGCAGCTATCTTTGATTTGTTCTCTGCTGTGTCCTTCGCACCTAGTAGATGCTCACTAATCATCTGTGGCACGAATTCACGAAAACCAGCCTTACCAGATTTGTTTCTCCCATGCACTTCATATGGTCCGGTGTGGTCATGTGACCTAAGCAAGACCAATCCAGGGTTGGTTTCAGTGGAGCTGCTGAGAAGACTGCTTTTCCCACCCCCCCTCCCAGCATCCAGAGCTCCCTGTGGCTGGTGAACTGCATTCCATATGTTGATATGGAGAAGGAAATGGCAGCCCACTCCACTCTTCTTGCCTGGAGAATCCCCCTGGACAGAGGAGCCTGGTGGACTACAGTCCATGGGGTCGCAGAGAGTCAGACACGACTGAGTGACTAAGCAACAAAAATGCCCTTCATGCATTTTACAGGTGCTATGAGTATCAGGTGATGTGTTAGGTTCCTAGGGCAAATTATTACAAACTGAGTGGCCTAATACAACAGAAACCTATTATTCCAATGTTCTGCAGGCTAGAAGCCCAAACTTGGCAGGGCTGCACTCCTCCCAGGTGCTCCAGAGGGAAATCCATTCCTTGCCTCTTCCAGCTTCTGGTGGCTCCAGTATCCCTTGGCATGTGGCCGCAGCACTCTAATCTCTGCCTCTGTCTTCTTTCCTGTGTGTCTCTCTCTGCTTCTCCCATTAAAGAATGCTTGTAATTGCATTTAGTGCCCATCTGAATAATCCAGGGTAAACTCCACCTCAAGACCCTTAACTTAACCACAGCTTTTCCATATAAGGAAACCTGTGAAGGCTCTGAGAGAGAAGTGGACATACCTTTTCTCACTCTAGGAGTCACCATTCAGCTCTCTATATTATTTGCTTAAAGACCAGAAAAGCAAAGGCTTCCCACCACCACTTCATTGGCCTGACAGATATGTGATGAAAAGAGTATTATCATCCTATTACCTTGCTCCTGTCAGAGTGTGGAAATGATTTTTTAAATGCCATTTTCTGTGTTTTTAATTATCCCAATTTTCAAAAATAATATCATGCATATGGTAAGAAAAACAGTACAGAAACATGGGAGATAGAGGAGCCCCTTTGCAATTTTCCTCTTAACTCCAGTTTCACTTTTTAAATGTAATCACCATATGCAGCCTGCATAATCTTCATAAATTTTCTAAGCATATTCGAGAGCATACACTTTTTTGGCTTCTAACATTAAGAACAGTGGCAGGGGGCTGGGATGGTTTATATCCTGAAGGCACGACAGCACTCTGACCCACCAGAAGCTTTCTAATGACTTCTAGCAATGCACCACACTTAACCTGTCCCCTACTCTCAGCACTTCAGTTAACTCCAGGATTTTAACGTTATATATACTCTCTGGTATCTGTCCAGCTATACTCCATCGGATACACTCCTAGATTTGGGATTTCCATGTCAATGTGTACATTTTAAATTTCTACAGCCCCAGTACCATTCACCAAGGTGGTGAAATTCACACGCCCATCAACAATGCACAGGTGAGGGTGTCTGTTGCCAATACCCTTGCCCATCCTGGCAAAATAGCAGCGTGTCAGATCTCAAACTCAGGTGAGTGGGCTTTCCACGTGGGCCTGGTGGGGTGGACATAGCCCGCGAGGTTGTCCCCGTAGCCGTCTGAGGCACTGAGCTGCTCAGAGCTCTCGTTTAGGTTTTTATAAAACAAAGACAGAGTCTGGGGAGGTGAGCCAGAACCATGCAGTGAGACGCATTGTGCAACTCAGTATTTATTTCTTTAGCACAGCTAGAACTTAAATATGGTCAAAACATATTCTCCTTTTAATTTACACAAACAAATATGTTCCCGGGCTGACACCTCCGGTGCCAAGTTTCTAGGGGAAATGCAATTCTACTGTGAGATGAGAAACCAGCAGAGAGAAGATGAGGGTGGAAAAGCCACCACCATTTGCTTTGCACGTCCGAGCTGGGCTTCTCAGAGGGGTGTTTCAGAACTGGGCTGCTGCCTCTTGATCTCTTTCTGTCTTTGTTGCAGATAAACCTGCCAGTAATTTCAGCAAATGAAATGTGGAACATGTAAAGGCCAAATGATGGAAAACACTCAGGTTTTAATAAAAGGAGATCTGCTCGGCTGGGACTCCTCTGTCCTGCTAGTCAGGAGATGCAAAGATTTATCCAGAGAGGGGCTGATGAATTGAAGAAACAGAAATGAGGCCAATGTGAGTTGCCTTTCAAGAGCTGTGCTAATATAAAACCAAGCAACTTGAATTTGTTCCAAGAGGGGATTAAAGCAACATGTTATTTTGAGTGATTGCTTAATTTATTGAGCTGTGGCTAGATTGGTAATGAAATACAGCCCTTGCAACTGATAACCTCTCGCTGTAATTGAACTTCTACAATTAAGAAATATTTTCTGAGAGTTTCTCTGGAACAGCTCAGAATTTTTAGTCTCGGTAGTTGGGTACTTTTGAGCTCTTATTTTCCAGGCAAGTTTTCCTTTCTTTCTTTAAGAAGTGACAGGCTGATGTTAATAAGGAAAATAAGCAGCATTTTATTGAATGTCTTGTGTATACCAGGCACTTAATATACATTATCTCTAATCCCGACCACAACCCAAGGAAGTCATTCTTATTTGTCCCTGTTTTATAGAGATGAGGCTCCTAGATGTTATGTGATTTCCCAGAGTGGTGGTGTCCAAGATGATAGCTACTAGTCACTTGTGGCTATTTCTGTGTAAATTAGTTTAAAATGTTTTAATCTAAAATTTCATGCTTGGGTTGCACTAATAGCTATATAGGGCTAGTGGCCACCACATTGGATGGTGCAGATATAGACCATTTTGATTACTGCAGAGAGTTCCATTGCTCAGTGCCATTCCAGAGGTTTCCTAGGTAGAGACAGGCAGTGCTCGGTTTCAACCTCAAGTTAATGGGCTTTGAAGGCACCATCTACCATAGCCCTTGTTTCCTTCTCTTCCGTTGGCTGAGAAGAAAGGACTAGAGCAGTGATTCTAAACCCCGGCTGCACGTTAAAATCACCTGGACTCTTATATAATCTCCTATCTGGCCATTTTAATGACTATATTCCAGATAGGCAAAATAGCTGTAAGACTGAGTTATTTCCTTTGTCAATGTTTTATTATCTATTAACATAACTATACTGACTTTCTAAAATTTTGGTGAATTGAACACTAAAAAAAAAAAAAGTACCTGAACTGGAACTTCCCTGGCAGTCCAGGAAAGCATGGATCTGCCCTCTCGATTTAGGGGTGGGGAGAGGGGAGCACTGAGTTCGACTCCTGGTCAGGGAACTAGATCCCACATGCCACAATGGAAGATCCCACATGCCACAACTAAGACCCAGCACAGCCACATAAATAAAATTACCTGGACTGCTTTTTAAAAAAGTGTTAGGGTCCCAGCCCCAGAGATTCTGACTTAATTGTGACTGAGAGGGGTTTTTGTAATTCCTCGTGTGATTCAAATGTGCTGTGTGGATTACGAGCAATCAGATGCGAGGCTCCACACCCAGGGTGGTGAAAAGAGCTGGTTCATTTGCCATGAGAATGTGATCCCTTGTGGACCATGACATAGGTTTCTCTCAGAGCCACTTCTAAACCTCATTTCTGAGGGGAAGACTTAAGTGCTTTCTCTCATACTTCCTGCTTGATGGGAGACCCAGTGGGGAGCGCTGCCCTTAGAAACAGGCTTTGTGCACGGTCGTGCAAGAAAAGAGATGTGGATGTAAGATCACAGAGATGAAGCGAAAAACCTGGAGTCCCCAGTCTAAATGGGAAGTATTGGTATTACAAAATAATACACTGGTATTACACTTTGCCTTACAAAATAAAGCATGTGTTTCCTACCCCTGTCCACTGACAAGGTTTGATGTAACAGGCAATTCAGGAACAGTGAACACTCGCAGAGCACACATTGTGGTCTCTAAACCCCACTTCTAACTAGAAGTGCTCTGTGGAGATAGGGCTGACTCCAGGTCTGAGGCAGGCAACGTGCAGGATGAGCGTGAACAGCTTGTCATCCAGGTGGCTCAGAAACTATCACAGACTTAAGGGGACTTGTCAGAAAGGATTCAGGAAGACAATGTGAAAAGATTCCCACTGGCCAAAGATGGGACATTTTGAGCATCGATAAGTATAATAACCGCCGTGGATGAAAATGGGTTATGTATGTCCAAACCTGTAAGTTCACAGTGATACTTAGAAAAACAGGAAAACATAAACTCATTTACCATCTTTGGAGAATGTTGGGACTGACTTTTTTTTTTTAATCTCAGTTCCCAGACCAGGGATTGAATCAGGCCACGGCAGTGAAAGCCTGGAATCCCAACCACTAGGCCAGCCGAGAACTCCCTAGGACCAGCTTCTCAGTTTGAAAACTGTCAAATAAAGAGGAAAGAGTCAAGCATATATCCTTTCTGGTATAAGCCATACTTTACAGGAACCGAATGGCTGATTAGGAGAGGTTTCTTTATAGAGGTATTCCAGCTAACAAAAGACAGAAGAATAGAATTAGTAAGCCACCATTTTCAACCTCTAATGGATCTAGACAGTGGTCATCAATGGTTGCTAACATCATGAAGGGGGACAACCACAAATTATGTGCCTTCAAATAGAAATAGGAAGCATCCACTAGGAAGCAGTCATACAAACACACACACACACACAAAAACAAACATGAATCTAAGTGGACTTCTAGATCTAACTACTGATTTATAAGAAACACAGTGCAGAGAGGAACAGGTATCAGTATAATACCAGCAGAGGGATGCAGTAAGCAAAACCCAGACTGGGATACACTACAGAACAACCAACTCAGTTTCCTCAACAAATACATTGCGAGAGAAGCAAAAGAGAGGGGAGGGAAATCTGTGGGTGCAGATCAAGAAAGGGGTAAGAGGTATATGAACCAATCACAATGTATGAACCACATATGAATCTTGATTTTAGCCAGCTGTAAAGAAGATAGCTCGGAGAAGGCAATGGAATCCCACTCCAGTACTCTTGCCTGGAGAATCCCATGGACGGAGGAACCTGGTGGGCTGCAGTCCATGGGGTCATGAGGAGTTGGACACGACTAAGCCGACTTCACTTTCACTTTTCACTTTCATGCATTGGAGAAGGCAATGGCAACACCCACTCCAGTGTTCTTGCCTGGAGAATCCCAGGGACGACGGAGCCTGGTGGGCTGCCGTCTATGGGGTCGCACAGAGTCAGACACGACTGAAGTGACTTAGCAGCAGCAGCAAAGAAGACAGTTAATGAGACAACCAGAAAATTGTGAACAGTTGATATTTTCTGATTATTAAAGCATTATTGTTAGTTTTAGTCGGGATGATGGCAGTAAAAAAAAATCCTTATTTTTGGAGTCATAAACTAAAATATTTGCAGAAGCTATCTGGAATTTGCTTGTAAGTATCTAGGATGTGGAAGGAGGGGAAGGGGGGCTATAGATGGAACAAGGTTAGCTGAGACTTGGTGATTACTGAAGCTGGGTGATGGATAGCTAGGGTTTATGGTACCATGTACTTGTGTGCCCTTGTGTTATTTGTTCAACCTGCCTACCCATTGCTGGCATCTCTGGGGCAAGCCTGGGTCACAGGTTTGTGATACATCTCAGTGCATGCATGTGTGCACACCCTCTTCTGTCGCCATGGCAACTAGCAAGGTGAGAAAGCAGCATCCAAAAGGTTCCTGTCCACATGAGGATCAAGCCAGGCTGCTGGTGTTATGCTCGGCACATCATATTTGCTCCCTTTGGAGAATTCCTAGTCAGATCTTCACAGCCCTACTCCCTCCACCAGATTTCCTCCTGCACTCCTTTGCCATCACTCATGCCTTCCCTATGCGCCCCCTGAGGAAGCAGAGGCTCATAAATGGAGAGAACAAGACCCTGAATCAGCTCCAGGCTCAGTTCTTGACTTCTCCACTTAATGGCAGGACTCTTCACCTCCCTGAGCCTCAATTCTCTCACCAGTAAAATGAACATGATACAACCTCAATGAACTCAACAGATCTTTATTATGGGGAGGCAGTGGCAAAAAGGACCTCATCTCCACCTCATGGAACTAGACACCTGAAGGTGAAAGGCAATCAAGAGTATGTACTGTGATAGAGCTATGACCAACATACACAGCGTACTAAAAAGCAGAGACATCATTTTGCGGACAAAGGTCTGTATAGTCAAAGCTATGGTTTCTCCAATAGTCGTGTACAGGTGTGAGAGTTGGACCATAAAGAAGGCAGAGCACCGAAGAATTGATGCTTTAGAACCCTGATGTTGAAGAAGACTCTTGAGAGTCCCTTGGACAGCAAGATGAAACCAGTCAATTCTAAAGGAAATAAGTCCTGAATATTCACTGGAAGAACTGATGCTGAAACTCCAGTACTTTGGCCACCTGATGCAAAGAGCTGACTCATTGGAAAAGATCCTGATGCTTGGAAAGATTGAGGGCAGGAGAAGAGGATGACAGAGGACGAGATGGTTCGATGGCATCATCAACTCAATGGACATGAGTTTGAGCAAACTCCGGGAGATAGTGAAGGACAGGGCAGCATGTCATGCTGCAGTCCATGGGGTCACAAAGAGTTGGATACAACTTAGCGACTGAACAACATTAGCGACTGAAGAAGGGACTTCCCTGATGGTCCAGTGGTTAACACTCTGTGCTCCCAATGCAGGGGGGCTGGGTTTGATTCCTGGTCAGGGAACTAGATCCCACATACTGCAACTGAAAGTTCACATGCCACATTGAAAATCCCAAGTGTTGCAACTAAGACCCGGAGCAGCCAAAAAAAAAAAAGTATGTACTGTGATAAAGTACATGTTTAAAAAAAAACTTTTTTTTGAAAACTGGCAGTCACTAGTTAGGAAATACTGTAACTCATTTTATTTGACCCTGCAGCTTGTAGGATCTTAGTTCCCCTATGAGGGATTGAACCCAGGGTCCTGGCAGTGAGAGCACCAATTCCTAATCACCGGGACCACCAGGGAATTCCCATAACTCTTAATCATAATGTCATAATTCTTAATCACACTTTTTGTTAACCAGGATATCCATACTTTGCAACTTGAGAGTATCTAGCTATGCCAGACCGAGAGAATATTTTTACTTAACTGAGTGCTCATATTCCATGAAGTAAGTACTGTTCTTCCAGTTATTTTATGGAGGAGGTGAGATACTTGCCCAGGGCTACACTGTGGGTACATGGCCCTGCCTTCTTTGCCCAGCTCTCTGCACCGATTCAGCTCTGAATGCAGCAGCCGGGCCAGGAAACGTGAACTTCCAGGAGATGAAAAGCTCACCAGGTCAAACTCTATTTTGCAGTTGAGGAAACAGTGGCCCAGAGAGGCCAAGTAACTTATTCCAAGCCACACAGCAAATTGGCTGCTTAACCTGTGTCCTAGCTGCTTGGGGAAGTCCCACATGCTACGGGAAGCTGCTTCCTGCCCCATTTCAGCCTGTCCCAGGGTGGGGTGGCCAGTCATCTCGGGGTTTCCCGGGACTGGGAACTTTAGGTGCTTAAATCAAGAAAGTCCTGAGCCAATTGGGATGAGTCAGTCACTCTGTCTCAGAGCGAGGCGTCTAAAGGGATGTTTTCGAGGATGTGAGAACCAGCGCCAAGTCCCCACAGAAGTGCTGGGGTTTCATGCCTTATATAATTAAAACTGATTGTTAATATCTAGGCTCCCCCACCCCAGCCAGACTCCCCACCCACGGGAGGCAGGGATCAGTATGTAATGTTCACTTCTGTTTTACAGCCCCTGATTCAACAGTGACACATGAATGATGTTCAGTAAACAGTCATCAAGTGGACCAACCAACCAAGCTACCATCACCTCTGACTGCGCCTCCATCTGAAATTGCAGAAACCCTCTATAGCCACTGTGACCTCCAGTTCCCATTTCAGACAGGCTGACATCCATGATGTCACATGATAGAAGGTGACTCCAGAGAGACTGACTACAACAAGGCTCCTGGAGGGAGCTATGGCAGACAAGAGTGGGTGTGGTTTTTCTTTAATTATTGTACCTGTTTTGTCTGTTCTTTCTTGGCTCTGTTCACATCTCCACCCCAGCGCCAGTGCAGGGGGGGAAAAAAAAAAAACAGAACAAAAAACATCGCGGAGTTTGAGACAAGATAGCTGGCTGGTTCCCTCTCTGCTTGTAATTAATGCTGAAAATGACTTGCCTTGGCCACAAAGGTAATAATAAAGTCAGGGAGTCTGATTATTTGGCTACTAATTTCCTTCTAGTTTTTTTTTTCCCCTTCTCGTTTCCTTAAATTAATTCCAGAGTTCCTCCAGATTTCTCGTTGCTAAGCTATAAAGTTCCAGGTTTCCCAGCACCCATGCTGATTGGCAGGGAGGTTCCAGGCAGCTCCAATCAGAGGCAGGTTGCTGAAAGGAGCATCCACATTGCAGCTTGCCCCGGGGTACTGGAATTTTTTCCCTGATGTTATGAACCATCAAAGTCTTTCTCTAACTGTGCAAAACCTGTTCTCTTGATCTTGTCTGCCTCTCTCTTGGTGTGCAGGCTACTGGGGCACGCCAGAAATCCTGGAAAAAACCCCTGGTCCTGGAGGAATAGAGAGTCCCTGGGTTGCCAGGTTTAGCGTCAGTGAAAGAAATGCCCAGGGCCTGTTCATGGCTGACCAGAGATGACAGCGTGGTGTCCTGCCACGGGCTGGGGGTGCTGCCTCAGACCTCGCCTGTCGGACCTCTCTCGTGCCATCTCTTAAGCTTGGTGAAAGGCTCAAGAGGGTTGAGGGAGAGTAGATGCCACTGCATGTAGGGTTGTTCGGGGGTAGAGGCTGCATTTGTAAAGATGTTCAAACAGGTAGATGGGGACTTCCCTGGTGGTCCAGTGGTTAAGAATCTGCCTTGCAATGCAGGGGGTGCAGGTTCGATCTCTGGTCAGGGAACTAAGATCTCACATGCCGCAGGGCAACTAAACCCACGTGCCACAACTACAGAGCCCGGGCACCACCATGAAAGACCAGATGCAGCCAAGTAAATAAATAAAAACATGTATATGGTGAGGGCACCTGGGAGGACCATTCTGGTGTTTCACCTCCAGAACACGGATACAAACAGCCACCGTGAACTAAGTTCCTACTGTGCACCAGAAACTTTTATTTTTTAGAACCACTTTATTGAGGTGTGGTTGACATGTGAAAAGCTGTCTACATTTAATGTATACAACTTGAGTTTGGAGATACGTATACCCCGGTGGGACAGAGAGAAGAGAGTAGTGGTTGCCAAGGGGGCAGTGTGGGGGGAGATGGAGTGGGAGGCTGGGGTTGGCAGAGGTAAGCTTTTATATATAGAATGGATAAACAACAAAGTCCTACTGCATAGCACAGAGAACCATATTCAATGTCCTATGATCAGCCATAATAGAAAAGGATATTAAAAAAGGATATATACGTATAATGGACCCACTTTGCTCTACAGCTGTAATTAACACCCTGTAAATCAATTACGCGTGTTAAGTGACTTCAGTCGTGTCCAACACTTTGTGACCCCATGGACTGTAGCCCGCCTGGCTCCTCTGTCCATGGGATTCTCCAGGCAAGAATACTGGAGTGGATTGCCATGCCCTCTTCCAGGGGATCTTCCTGCCCCGGGGATCGAACCCACATTTCCTGCAGCTCCTGAATTGCAAGTGGCTTCTTTATCACTGAGCCACCGGGGAAGCCCCCTCCCCACCACAAATAAGTATATACTCATGAAAGTATCACCAGAGTCAGTCTATGCCATAAATATATCTATCACCTCCAAAAATTTCCTCCTGCCTTCTTTATATTCTTTTTTTATTATGATAGGAACATTTAACATAAGATCTACCCTCTTAGCAAATTTTAAGTGTACCATACAGTGTTGTTAATTGTCACTACCATGCTGTACATTAGATATCCCGAACTCAGTCATCTTGCAGACCTGAAGCTTTGGACCCCTTGACCAATATCTTCCTATCCCCCTGCCTCCCACCCCCAGCAATCCTCATTCTACTCTCCAGTTCTCTGTGTTTGACTATTTTAGATTCCATACAAGTGGTATCACGTAATATTTGTCCTGTGTCTGGCTTATTTCACTTTGCGTAATGCCTTCCAGGTTCATCTGTGTATTCACATAGGACAGAATTACCTTCTTTTCATGGCTAAATAATATTCCATTGCATATACCACATTTTCTTTATCCATTCATCTGTCCATGGATATTTAAGTTGCCTCCATGTCTTGGCAATTGTGCTAGAAACTTAGGACATGTATGTCTCCTTCCATCCCAAAATTCCCACTGGACACAGAACGTGATGGATGTCTACTGGTTTTCCCTGCACTATTTCATCTTTCACTAACAGGGGAGCCATGACAGAGGGGAAATCATGTGACCCAAACCTGGCCACAGTGATTGGCTCTGGGATGGGCATACAGCCAAGCTGGGCCAATCAGAATCCTTCTGCGTTTTTTTTTTTTTTGGCCAAAACTATAGGAAGAACCTCCCTCTTGCCACTGGATTTGCTGACCTAGTGACCACTATGAACACAGGTGGAAGGTGCCTGAGGGAGATAAGGAGCCCCTGTGATAATGCTTGAGTTCTGCATGTAGGAGATCTCAGATCTATTTCCTGGGTTCTAGTTAAAGGAACAGAAGCTCCAATACTTTGATCACCTGATGCGAAGAACTGACTCATTGGAAAATACTCTGATGCTGGGAAAGATTGAAATCAGGAGGAGGGGACAACAGAGAATGACATGGTTGGATGGCATCACTGACGCGATGAACATGAGTTTGAGCAAGCTCCAGGAGTTGGTGATGGACAGGGAAGCCTGGCGTGCTGCAGTCCATGGGGTCACAAACAGTTGGACATGACTGAGCGGCTGAACTGAAATTATTATTTAGTGTGTTCAAGCCAGTTTGATTTGTGTGTCCGTTGCTTTTAACTGACAGAGTGTGAATAATACTGATACATGTTTTCTCCTTGTGGTACTTGACTCTGGGGTGGGCAATTTTCATGTCTTCCCACATAGGGTCCTCACAATCACCTGGTGAGGTATTCCATTTTGCAGACAGGAAAGCCAAGGCTCAGGGGGATGAGGGAGCCTGGTGCAGATAATACTGCCAGTATGTGCTCAGGGATTCAAACCTGGTCTAATGGATGTCTTGGTGGCTCATCAAATTCAACATGTCCAAAGCTGAATTTGAGAACCTCCCTCCAAGCCTGATTTTCCCCCAGGATCCCCATCTCATGGATAGCACCTCCTTCAGTCTGGTGGGGTTAACTGGAAGCCAGGTATTCTCCTTGACCCCTCCCAGTCTCACCAAGTCTTGTCCACTGCTGTTCCACAAGCCTGGAAGCAAGCAATTTACTCCTTCCATTGCCCACCTCTCCACCCCTGCCCAAGCTGTCCTCACTTCTCAAAACCTTGGCCTTTTAGAATTGCCTTCCACCTGATTCTCCCATGAAAAATGAAAGTGTTAGTCACTCAGTCCTACCCAACCTTTTGTGATCCCATGGACTGTAGCCCACCAGGCTCCTCTGTCCAAGGGATTTTCCCAGCAAGAATACTGGAGCAGGTAGCCATTCCCTTCTCCAGGGGATCTTCCTGACCCAGGAATCAAACCCAGGTCTCCTGCATTGCAGGCAGATTTTTTACTGTTTGAGCCAGCAGAGAAGCCCCAGTTCTCCTATACACACTGTCATATACATTCCTGCCCCCTCCTCCAAATAGAGCTCGCCTTGGCATTCAGAGGATTTGGCTCAGAATGCCAGTCTGGTCATAAAGCCTTGCTGGGAGAGTCTGTGTTTATTGATCTGATGGCACATTTGTCTCTGGGGAGGATTTGAGAGTCATACAACCCCTTGGTCCGACCTGACTTTCAGGCAAAAAGTCAGCAAGGCCAGATCTGGGGTGGACACAGTCGCCTGCATCCTTAGCCGCTCTGTTGTTTATTTCGAAAAGATGTGCAAGCTCCTCCCAGGCCCTGTCCCCTGTGCTGGGGGTCCAGAGATGAACAGCAGCAGCCTGAGCAAACCTCGTGGTGTGCTCGCTGAGGGCCCAGCCCTGCACTCCTGGCCACTAACTGGCTTGCTCCTCCAGCCACTCTATGACAGTGACTGTTATTTTTAAACACTTTTTGGAAATTTGTTTTCTCTTATTTATTTATTGCCGCACTGTGTGACATGTGGGATCTTAGTTCCCTGACCAGGGATTGAACCTGTGCCCCCCTGCAGTGGAAGTGCAGAGACCTAACCACTGGGCCACCAGGGAATTCCCCAAGCAGTGATTATTATTCATTTCACTTTACAAATGAGAAGGAAAAGATCCCTGTTCTCATGAAACTTTTATGCTAGTAAGGAAGACCAACAAAAAGTTAAACACACACACAGGTGACATAATACAGAGAATGATGGACCAAAGGTAATTCTTGGAGTCTGAGTCCAGAGGCTCCTAGATGCTTTCATCTCATCTCAGTCTGCAACCCAGAAGGCCAAGGCTGAACTCAGACCTCTCCCAACTCCTTGGGAGTTCCACAGGCCACCACCTTCTCTCCCCACTCTCCACTCTGCCCTGAGGGACCTGTGATCGCACCTCAGGTTAAAAGTCCAAGGCCTGCCCCAAGCCCCTCTTGGGTTTAGGGGTGCACACACTGGAAGCCAGTGGGGCAGATCTCGGGGAGACACCTGGGCAGGCTTTGCAAATGGCTCAGTGCTGCTAGGGCAGGGAGTCTGATAGTCCCGGACACCCAGGACGTGGCCCAGAAATGCAGAGGTGGGGGCCCATGGGGGCATATCCCTTTGGCTCCATGGCTCCCTACCTTGTGTGGAGGAGCCTGGCTGGAGGACTGGGACGGGCCCCTGCAAGTCACAGGGCCAGACTTGCCTGAGTCTAAAAAAGGGCAGTTCTGCTGTGCTCACGGCCTTCTAGTTTATTGTTGAGCCCTTGTTCTCTGCACCCTGACCCTCCCCCATCTCTGTATGTCTGCCTCTGGCTTCCCTCCTGTATGGACTGAATGATGTCCCCCCACATTCATATGTCTACTCAGAACTTCAGAATGTGACCTTGCTTGGAAGTCGGGTCTTTGCAGATGTCATCAAGATAAGATGAGGTCATACTAGATTAGAGTAGATGTTAAATCCAATGACTGACATCCTTATAAGGAGAGAGGGGAATGTTCCTGGAAGTTCCGTGGTTAAGACTGCACCTTCCGATGCAGGAGGTATGGGTTCCATCCCTGGTCGGGAAGCTAAGATCCCACGTGGCTGGCGGCCAAAATACCAAAATATAAAACAGAAACAATGTTTTAACAAACTCCACATAGACTTTAAAAATGGTCCACATTTTTTAAAAAAGTCTAAAGAAAGAAGAGAAGACACACAGGAAGAAGGCCATGTGACAGTGGAGAGAGTGACTGTGGTGATGTAGTTACAAGCCAGGAATGAAAGCCAAGGGTTATGGGAAATTTGCTGGAAGAGGCAAGGGCGGATTCTTTCCTAGAGCCCTTGGAGGGAGCATGGCCCTGCTGACATCTTGACTTCAGACTTCTCGCCTTCAGAACGGTGAGCTGGTAAATTTCTGTTGTCTTACACCTCCAGGTTTGTGGTGGCTTGCTATGGACCCCAAGGAAGGTCATGCGCCTCCCTGGCAGGTCCTCCTTCCCCCTCTCCCACACCTGGTGTCAGGCTGGGGTAGGAAAAAAATGTCACTAGCAGATCCCCCTAGCAATTCACCTGGGCAATCCCAGAGGCAAGATGTTCTTAAAGATCACCTCTTCCAGGAAAATTACCTCCACCCTTGCCCTTGGCAGCCCTGGAGAGGGGCTCTGGCTCCAGGGGGATATGCCCCACCCCTGAAGCAGGACCTCAAAGAATGTGGGCTCTGCTCAAAGAGCTAGCCGGGGAGCCCCTCACTGCAGCCCACCCCAGCCTCATGCACACCGGCCAGCGCCTGGCGCAACAGATGTCAGAACCCCCCTTGGGCTGCGACCACATGTGGTTTGTTGCTCAGCGTTCCAGTAGGAAGTTTGGCTGTGTTTGTCACAATTGTTAATGTTTGGTTACATTTAACCAAGGCCAAGGAGGTGGGGGTATGTGTGTGTGTGAGAGAGAGGGTACACAAAGCCTGTGGGAGGATTGCCTGACCTTCCCCACTTGCCAGATACAGATGACCAAAAAGTAAACTGAGCAAGATGGCAGGTCTCTCTAGAAATCAGAGTGTTTGAACTCAACAGCAAAGAGCTGCTGTTTATTCCTAACTCCATCAAATGAGATGACTTCTCACCACCAGATGAGTATATACTGTCATTGGGACCATATAGTGTTTGAATGCCAAAGTCATTTGTCTGCTCATCCATCCATCTACCCACCTACCTATCCATCCATCCACCTGTCCATCCACATATCTGTCCATTCACCCAATACTTGCTAAATTCTCATTATAATTACTATAACAGTTCCTATTCAATGGACACTTTCAATGAGACAGGCTGTGTGCTAAACACTTTGCATGCATCATGTTTAATTCTTACAAACACTTCTATAAAATAGACGCCAGTAGACCCGGTTCACAGAGTGGGGAATTGGGGCGCAGGGAGGTTAGGTCACTTGCCTAAGACTTTATAGCCTACTGACGGCAAAGAATCTGCCTGTACTGCAGGAGCCGCGGGTAGAATGTGCCAGAAGTAATGTTGTTTGAGTCCCAAGCCCAGGCCTCAAGAAGCCTGGCAGCTGCTGTCTTTGTTGACTCAGAATGCTGACCTGAAGCCTCCACAAAAGGAAGCAGGTCTTGCACGTTAAGGAATATGAGAGGCCAACTGAGGCCACCCAGCCAATAGCCAACACCAGCTGCCACACATCTAAGGGAGGACATCTGGACCTTCCTGTCTGGCTAATCCTCCAGCCAAGGGAACCCAGTGAAAACTAACAGAGGGATCACCAAGCCAATCACAGGATCATGAAAAGTAATAAATTGTTGTTTTAAGCCATTATGGTCTGGGGTGTGTTTGTCATGCAGCCAAAGCTCACTGAGACATGCTGTAAGAGGCCAAGCTGAGATTCGAACCTGGTTCTAGAATCTGGGCCTCTCAGAGGCAGGGACTGTGACCAGACAGCTCAAGCGGATATAGCCCCTGAGCGTGAGCAGCTCAGGTACAGAATCCTACAAAGACCCTTCTGGGGCATCCATGTGAAGGAAGGTGTTCTCGGGACATTGACAAACGTGTTTCACTTACACAGAGGCCAACGGCCACACACCTGCCAGGTGACAGTCACCTAGCTAGGTGCCGTGTCTGTGGAAGCAAGCAACAATCTCTGATCCCGGGAAGCTCGAAATTTAGGGAAGGAGGCAGACAAAACTAAACCAGTAACCGAGCCACGACAAGTTGTGAAAAAATGTTGTGAAAGAAACTAAGAGGCCCTGAGGAGAGAAATGATGGGATGAAGTAAGTTTAGATCAGGTGGTCAGGAAAGATGTCTCCAAGAAGGTGATGGTTAAGCTGAATCCACCAGAAGAGTGGAGAGACAAGCAAAGAGTTACAGGAAAAATAATCCAAACTGAAGCAACTGCATGAGCGAAGGTCCTGAGGAAAGATGGAGACCTGGAATTTCTAGCAAAGTGGGAGCAGGGTGGGTAAGGAGAAGGGCAGATGCAGACCAAGAAGGAAGTGTGGGCCAGGCCAGAGCATGTGGTCTTGGAGGCTGTCTTAGTCCCTTTGGGCTGCTAGAACCAAAATACCACAGACTGTGTGGCTTATACACAACTCAATTTATTTCCAGCAACTCTGGAGGCTGGGAATTCCAAGGTCAAGGACTGTGTTAGTCACTCAGTCCTGTCCCAAGGTCAAGGTGCTGGCCAATTCGGTGTGTGCTAAGGACCTGCTTCTGGTTCATAGATGGCCATGTTCTTGCTGTGTCCTCAGAGGGGAGAAAGGGAGAGGAACTCGGTGGTGTCACTTTTATAAGAGCATGAATCCATCAATGAGGACCCCACCCTCATGGCCTAATCACCTCCCCAAAGACCCACATCCAA